TGTACTTTTTGTCAGCTGCAGCTGTAAACGCATTGGGTAGGTGGTGCACACCCGATTACCTGCAGTGGTGTTCGGGACGAACGCGGCAGGAGTAGTCACTACAGGCAGGCGTCGAGACCTGTAGCACCTTCCTGTCGCCTATGCGTCATGAAGCCAGATTCCTTGTAGACCACTTCCCCCCTCTGTGGTTTCGTAGGGTCTTTACTTTGTTCTTCTGGTGTTTTTCTTGAACCTGTCTCCAATTAAAAGCCTCTTTTACTGCCTGAAATAGATTCAGTTTGTGCAGCGTGCACAACAAGGAGTTAGCGCTATGCGTACCGCTGCAGCAAGCTACAGTGCCATTAGAGAAGGGGAGTTGGGCTACAGCAAACTACCGGCGAGAAAGCCAAACCATGAAAAGATAAAGATATGCGGTTCGGAAATAGCTCCTCGCAAGTTGCAGCCAGCACGAAAATCCACAGTACATATGTAACAAGCGCAAACACCCCATGAGTTTGCTGCGTTTGCTGGGGGCTGCGTGCGAGACTTGCAGGAGACTGTACAGCCGTTGTCCGCGGTGCTTCGGCTGTTGCATAGGCGCATTTTTCGCTGCAGCGACCGCACATAAAGAGCCACTCGGCCACTAACTGCTTCGTTTCTACCCCACTTGCCGCGGCATATGTATGGCTAGCCCATGATCCGCAAATCAAAACTACCCTACAACCGGTAACCTCTGGGCTTGCATTCTGTTTATTTAGTCCAAACCACGCCCCAAGAGGGCCGTCGCTAAAAGGGCAGTTGAGGAAGCCCAGGACGCAGTATCCATTTGGCTGTTATGCAAAGGGGCTTCTTCTGAACCGCTACGGGGCCACAAAGTCACCTCTACGATATGATTGTGGAGTGCTCGGAGCAACCAGAGCATATCCAGCCTTCCTTTCGGATACATTCTAGCAATAATCCGTTAAATAGCTCAAGAACGAAATTTCTTATGCCACCCGGTAGCTCTACAGGCCCCCAAATAGGAAAGCAATGCATTTGGTTCCTGTGGATCTGAATTTTGGGGATCGGTAAGGGCTCATCCACCCAGGGCCTCCTCTAAGAGTAGAAACGGTTCTCCGTGTTTGGCTCTAAGAAATCCATGTCCTACAAGATATTTGACGATAACCAAGGCTAGTAAGTGGGGTCTCTTGTATGGAGATCTCTCTTTGGGGGTAACCCCAATGAGCCCTACATGCTATTTTAAGGGGAAATTCCCCAAATCTCATAAGGTCATTAGTCTGCTCTTTGAGAAAATTTAAAGAAGGCAGCATTATTGCCGCCCAGCATCGAAATTTGCCATCATCGTGAGGGCTAAGGGACGATAGGCTGCTGTCCATGGGATGGATGCGCGTAATGTGAGAGAGAGGACCCACTCTCCTGCATATTGAGGCAATCCGGCACCGGCAGCAGAACTCGAGGGTTTAACCTGCAAAGAACTTTTATAAGACCCTGATGCACTTTCAGAGAGTACTGCTCGGGAAACGTTGAAAACCTCTTCTCGGGGCATCGTGTTGAGCAAAGATGACGTTTACATCAAAGAGGCCTCAGACCACGAAGGCTGAAGCGTAGGTACACTAGTTTTAAAGGCCTCTTCTGTATCCTGTACTTGCTGGAAACTCTGGGCTTTTCCCCTTTCGGAGCCGACAAGACTCTCAGGTGATCCAGGCGGCCAGATACATCCCGACCCCCAATTGGATCATCACCGCAAGAAACACAGAAAGCAGACTTCAAACCCAGCTTCCCAGTACCGTGACGGGGAAGAAATGCCTAGCGGCGTAATACTGCGGGCCCTTCGAGTTGCTGCTGGTAAGCACGCGCTTCATTGTGGAGCCCCCAAGTTTGCTGTTCCTTGCAACCCTTTGTTTCCTTATCCCCCCACCTGCAAAAGGTTCTCCTAGGTGCCCAGTAGAAGGTTTCACACGCGGGCTCAGAGGGTTGTGGGCTGATTCTCTTGACCGGGGAGTGTCAGCGCACCTTATCATTCGTCCCCTACTGAGGCCTTTTTCCTGTCAGCAAGGCTCCTCTCATCGATTGTGACCTGCTGTGTGAGATGAGCAAGTGCTGGGCTGCACCAACCTTCACCTTGGATTCGGCCATATCAGGTGGCGCGTACTAGATCCGAGGTGACGAGATGAGGAGGAGAAAAGTTATGGAGCCTTTGGTGTCTGGCCACGTTTGCAAAAGATAGGCAGTGTGATCTGTGGCAGGGGATGACAGAAGTTGGTCCAAAAAGTGTAATTGAAACAACCAACATCAATTGGGTTTAGTATCAAAATCAAAATCACGGAAGGAACTGTTTCTTAAAAGAGAAGGGAAACTTTCATCAAATGAGGGATGTTTTACTCTGATCCTGGTACGACGCTCCGACTCGAGGACTGCAGTGTTCTGTGCCTGGGGATACGCAGGCCTGTAGTCCTCTGTGTTTTGCTGCCTTTCATATTAGCTATGTTAGGTCTGAAGTACCTGAGATCTCTTTGGTATAACCATAGGGCCGTGAATTCCGGTGTGTCTGCGCAAGCAAAGCTACCAGGTAACGACTGACTGCAAGCCACAACGCGGCTGCCACGTGGGCGTAGGGAGTGTCTTTTCTGAAATCGCGGAGAATCGAGACAAGAGCGGCTTCCCTACATTACTTTCATCATTGTTACATGGAGGAGGACAAAAATATTCTTCCATCAGATGAAAGCTGAAGGCCTTGAGCCCAGCATACGCTGCAGGATGTACCGACGTGTCTCGTGCTGACTATCCAAGCAGGACTCCTACAAACACCAAATTTTCCTGCATTTTCCGATTAGTTTTGCTAAGAATAAACGCAAGTAGTGATAGTAGCGGCAATGACACCTTTAGCACTGCCACACACGGTGGATGGGAGGATCCTTGCTGCTCAAACTTGAAACGCCCAAACGCCCACCACGAAGGTGCGCCCCGAAGGCGATTGCAATAATTCCTTTTGTAGCTGATGTACTATTAAAATTCCTCGTTGCTTTCTGTAGCCCGTACAGCGATGCAATCCTGAGCCACAACTATGCAATGCTTAGTAGACCGTTCCTTCAAAGGTCACTCCGGGGAGGCGCGCAGGTAGAAAGCAAGTCGAAATTAGTTGAGATTTTGTATCATTTCTTTGGAAAGCTGTATGATCTGTGTGGTATGCTGCACAGTCCTTGTTTTAAGGTGAGAAGGCCGGCCGAGTAGCAGCTCGTAGCGCGCCACATGGGCTTTCCTTAGACATTCTCTGCCCGCAGCCCAATACGAGGTATGATAGAGCTTATTGAGTGTCACTCCAAGAACGCTTTCCCCTCTTTTCCTTGTCAGTTCCCAGGATTGCACCGTGAGTGGGCTAGGAGGCTGTGCTGCGTTGCTTCGTGCTGCTCCTTCTGAGCACTTCGGTCATTCACAGCTAGCTGCACATGGTAACGAAAGCAGCAAAAAACAGCTTTAAGGCTGATTCCACTGAATAAAATCTACTATGCAGCGGGTAACGCATACTAACAATCATACCAAATCGTCAAACCTTTACCTGCTCCGATTCGAATGCACGTAGTTTAGCAAAAGTGCAAATGCAGAGCAAAAGTGCAAATGAAGAGCTTGTAGTGCTACACAGCTGGCTACGTCCTCAAAAGGCAGAATACGACCGCACAAACCACCGCATGGCTCATTGCGGAAGACAGCCCACCCAGTCCTGCATATTCTCAGTCCTTGAACAAGCAATCCTGTATAGCACGATTGACGTTGGATTTTAGCAAGTCAGCCCGCTACGCACCCAAGCACCCCATCGAAGGAAAGAAAATTCCACATACTTGTTCCCTTCAGAGCGCCCTTTGGTGGCTTATTACAGCGACCTTGAGACTATGGAGTGCGGCCTCGATACTCTGAGCTTTGAGCCCTACCCGAGTATGAGAGGGCTCGTTTGCCTCAGCGCAGGCACTGTAGCTCTCTACCACGGAGTACCACTACGAAGCCATCCTCCCATAAAAAAAATGATGACCAGTTTATTTAACACCCATTGAAGGTTTTCCTTCTTCCCTGTCTCCACGCCAACGGTTTCTTCATGAGGGGAGATAGCCAGCTAGCGTGCGCATTGCTGTACCTTCTCAAAGCTTCCCCTATCCTCGCCTCGTTGCACAGTGCGGCTTTGCGCATACGTGCACAGCGTTTATTCCCATTATATTGAGCTTATCCTGTTGTGCTGCATAGAGAAATACGAACATTCAGACCGCGCATTCAAGTCCATCCACCTCAATTTACTTCGGTGCTTTCTAGCCCATTGGATATATATTTTAGCTCTCAGCCCGCAACAGCAGCCTCTGGATGGAGGGTAAGGAATGTGGCGCTGGGGAAGCCCGTGCTTCTTTTTTCTCTAAGATTAAATGCAAAGCGTTACTCTGCCTGGCAGCCTGTGTTTTACGATGCATCTCTCGTGCAGGCTTTAAGGCAAGCTAGGAGAAGAAACTGCGTTTGCTGGAACCAAACAGAGCCATATACGATGCGCAGTGGCTGCACGCCTCGGTGGCATGTAGTGGATTACGCTGTACAGACGACCGACAAGCGTACTGCAAACCAGTGTATACACAGCACGGCTGCTCGCAGCTGCTAGCTACAGGCAGCAATTACTGGTCGCCCCCAACGATTACATGCAACAAATCATTGTACATCCCCTTAGTCTTAATATGCACAGGAGGCTCCTAGGTGGCTGAAGGTCACGAGACACATGAACACGTTTCCGCCTATCCGTGAAAACTGCACCGTCGGCTAAAACGGCCCTCCGCCTTGACGTGAAGGCGCGAGGAAAGGGAAGGCCCAGAGAAAGCGCGCAAATACAGCCAGTATGAGGCAGAACGACCAGAGGTATTGTAGGTTCTAAAAATCGTGGATGAAACAGATGGTGACGAGCCATTCAGCTGCACAGAAGGATCCAAGGCAGCAACCCAGTCGCTGCTCCAGCCCTCGCTCGCTGCTTTGCCGATTCACACATGCCCCGATCTTCACAAATTACTTTCTTCTTGTTGATGGTGCTCCTGTGGATGAACAGTCCTCTGCTGGATTCGTTGATCCTGTGGCTCAGGGCAGCGGCTCGTTATCCACGCTGCCACGAGGGGGAAGAGAAGGTGCTGCCCTGGTTCGTTTGGGAGATCGTGCACTACGTCAATACCCCTGGCTACAATGACTCTAGGCTTCCTTTCGCGACAGTCTGCCGCGCCTTTCATGCGTTCTTCGTACGCCTTCAAACAGGCCGGCTGCTGCTGTGCCGCTGCAGCGGAGGCAGGTGCTGCTGGGAGATGGAAGTCAAATTCTGGATACAGCGCATGCAGCTTGGGATGCACGTGCTCGTGTACGCTGCCGCTGCCGTTGCTGCCTTCCTCGTGTTGCGCCTCGAGATCTCGCTGCATGTCGCTGCTATCAAATTGGCAGTTCGCAGGAGTAGAAGCGGCGGGTGCAGCAGCGCCCGGCAGGGGTCCCTCTATAGCGAGCAGTTGTCTGTCAGGGAGGCCTAGAAGGTTTGAGAAGCAGTTTACACTGCCAGTGATGTCACAGAGGGGGTCTTGCACCGCATGCACCAGCAAGGCTGCACCAGCATCTTGGTGTTGCAGCTGTAGCAGCTCGGAGTGCTGCGTTGCGGCTTCCATCTCCCACATCAGTGGCACTGCTATGCCTGCGGGTAGACCCCCTTTGTACGTCAACGGATCGGACTGGTAATAGTGGAGCAGATACGGGTGGCGTCGACGCTGAGGCACAACAGCAGCAGCAGCAGCTTCAAAGAAGCAGGCATTCCTCACGGTTGAAAGTTGTTGCAGGGAGGGCCTGTGGAGGCAGGCAGGCGAGGAGGGAGAGCAGCAGCAGCAACGCTGCAGCAGCAGAAGCAGTCGAGTCGAGAGATGGCTGCAGGGGGTGTCTAGACACCACGTGGCTGCAAAAAACCTGAAAGAACGAACGGGAAGCATGACTATCCACCCATCTACTTTTTGAGGCTCCCTTACAGTTCCAGGAGGAAGAAGAGGCGTATGCGGCTTGACTGCAGCAAGTGCAGCGGCAGCGTAGCGAATCAGCCTGGAACGTTGGAGGTGACGTCTGCGCGAGAGCTGCAACATCGGGGAAAGGAGCACGAGCCCTTGGAGACACAGAGGCGTTCCAACTGCAGCAGCAGTTGCCGCCTGTGCTGCAGCATCAGCGTCGGCAGCTGCCGCAGCTCTTGCTGCCTCGGGAGTCGAGAAGCATTCTACAAAGCGCAGATTCTCCTGGAAGACATGGCCATAAGCGAAATCGTCTGCTGCTGCTTCTGCTGCTGCTGCTGCGCTGCTGCTGCGCCTTTCATTTGCTGCCAGTTGTACAGCCCGAAGAGCCACCCAACCCCCCAGAGACAGTCCCACGAGAAACATGGGGACTCCAGCAGCAGCTGCTGCTGCAGCAGCAGCAGCAGAAGCAGCAGCAGCAGCAGCAGCAGCTCCTGCTTGCGCTCCTGCTGCTTTTTCTGGAGGCGCCTCTGCCTCGCGATCCGCTGGTGCGTCAGCAGACCTCCCGACAGCGCTCGGCGAGCGCCGCCTCCGCTGCAGTCTCGAGCCTTCTCCACCGCCGCTGGAGGGGAGGGAATGCGGCTGCGCTCTGCATGCGGCACCCCCGCGTTGCAGGGGGTGCACTTGGGCATGCAGCAGCTGCCCTTCCTCACAGGGGTGCCGCTGGGGGTACTCCGCCCTCAGGAGGCGCAAGAGAAGCAGCAGATCCTCCGCGAGATCGTCTAGAGAACGCACAATACACCGACCCTTCCCCCAGCCGTCTGAAGCGCCATGCCCTTGCATGTCGAGCCCAACAACATCAAATCCTAACCTGTTGAAGCCTTCTACCCAGCTGCCGATATACGTCGGTCGGAAGGCTCCCCAGCCATCCCCGCGTTCGCCTGCTGCTGCTGCTTCATCCTCCACGGAGGAGCAGGAAGAGGGGGGGCGGTGTAAGCCATGACCCCTGTGCAGCTGCCCTGTTGCTGCCTCTGTTGCTGCTTCTGTTGCTGCCTCTGTTGCTGCTTCTGTTGCTGCTTCTGTTGCTGCTTCTGTTGCTGCTTCTGCTGCTGCTTCTGCTGCTGCTTCTGTTGCTGCCTCTGTTGCTGCCTCTGCTGCTGCTTCCGACATTACAACAGGGGGCTTATGGAAGAAATGGCTGCGGCAGTGCTCTCCCAGCCCATGAACAAGCACCACAACTCCCCTAACAGGTCGATCTCGCAGAGGGGCCCCCCACAGGCCCCACCGTGGGGCCTCCTGCGCGCTCGCATGACCGGCGGCGGTGTCTCCGTGCTGCTGCTGCTGCTGTCGATGCTGTCGATGCTCGTGCCTCCATCTGTAGACTTTGATGTACAGACCTTGCGAATTCCGGAAGGATCCTACTTCGGGGGCTCCGTCCCATGGGAAGGAGGAGGAGCAAGACGTGCAGGAGTTTGTTTCTTGAGAGGCAGCCGACCGCTTCGCCTCGGATGCCGCTTCTGCCCAGGAAGCGCATGCAGGTGACGCTGCAGCAGCGGCTGGTGAGGGTTCTGCACAGCGCACGGGCAGGCCCTCTCTCCAGAAATCCCGGAAATAAGACATACCCAAGTAGCGCCACGGAAATTGCCGCAGCAGGTGCCTCGCGGCTGCCTCTCGCGAAAAAAACACGTCAAAGCCTTGACGCTGCCGAAGGCCCCATAGAAAGCGACTCCAGAGGGCGTCTGGTCGCAGGGTGTGTGAAGAGCCCTTCTTGCTGCTTTGCATGCCCTCCTTTACGCTGCTACTGCCGCTGGCGGCGGTGTGCGCTGCTGCTGCTGTTGCTGTTGCAGCTGCAGCAGCTGCTGCTGCTGCTAGGATGCAGCGGGACGGGGGGATCCGCTGCGACACCCCAGGCAGTGCCCGTCGGTGCGGAGAGCGCCGACTGAGCTTTGCGTTCGGCTGCTGCTCCAGACGCCTGTGCAGCACCCGCAGGTGTCTCAGTAGCAGGGATGTGTGTGTTGCCATGCCCCTGCACGGCACTGTTGAGGCACCCTCTCAGCCCGCGGAACCTCCCAAATTCTGTGTGCCTACGGCTCTATACGATGGGGGGGCAGATCTGTACGTATATATGCGTATATATATATGCGTATATATATCCGCATATATATATACGCACATGCGTATATACACGGATGTTTACGGATATGCAGACACGAGCAGAATCTCACCAGAGGGTCCTCTGAGGGTAGCGCTCACTCCGAAGACTCGGATACAGCCTGCATGTGGTGACAACACCAACGTAAGGCCAAGATGGCAGGAGATGCCGCCTCCCCGTCTTCGTCCCCCAACGCCTTCGCGCCTGGAGGCCCCTCCCGCTACCGTGTAGATCTCGTCATACCGTCCAGAGTCGTGTACTGGTAGGCCACACGTTCCCCTCGCCGGATAGCGAAGACGAGAGAAAAAGGGGTCGGGGAAGCCCCTTTTTGCAGCAATTATAAGCCTATAGAAGTTCTCGCAACAGGACACTGTAGATACACCCGATAGGATAGTCAGACACCGGTGCCGTTCATCAGGATGCGGTGGGACGCATGCAGTTGCAGCGGCAGCCGTTGCTGCAGAGATAGAAGCCTGCTGCTCTTGCCGCTGCTGCCGCTGCTGCTGCTGGCGCGCAGAAAATTTTGAGGCGCATTAAGATAGTTCTATGCAGGAATTTCAACGCTTCGTGTGCACCAAGATTCGTGAAGCCTGGTGGACTGCGCAAGACGCTATCCGGGTACTACCCGCAGCCAGTGACTGCATGCCAGAATTATTACTGGCGCTGCGCAGCGGCTGAAGTGCCTGCATCAACTCAGCGAGAGGCGGTATCTAACCTGCAGCTTCCCCCTTGTGAATGAACCACAATGACATCCGTATTTCGACGCATACCGGTGAGAGAGAGAGAGAAAGACTCCAAGTCTTCCGTCAGGGGGGAGCGGTGCCTGCAGGGCTCTTGCTGCTGCTTCCAGAGCAGCAAGAGCAGTGCTAGCAGGAGCACTTGCAGCAGCAAGTCTTTCTGAGTGTCAGAAGTAACGGGAGAGGCACTGGCTAGGGGGGACGTTGGCGACATTTGCAGGAGTACTAGGCCCCTCCACAGCTCTGTGCTCTCCGCGCTGGTAGGGGGGTTTAGGTGTGATGGTTCTGAGCACCTCGGGTTTGTGCACAGGTACAGAGCACTCTTAGAGTGTATGAAATGACTTCGACGCTCAGGAAGGGGCCCAAACCGTCAGAAGGGCCTCAAACGCTCCCACAAGCCTTGGCATCGGCACATCAGACCATCGACTTTCTCCACGTAAATCCCATATCTCTGGACTATAGTCTTTTGTTGTTATAGCCTCCGATTTGCATCATGCTAAGCACTTGAGCAAGGCCTCCGTTTTCTTGCTCCCTAAAGTAGCAAACCCCGTAGCAGCCCTGCTGTGCTGAACGTACACCCCGGAATCCAGCCTTTCACAGCTAAACGTCGAGCACTTGCGCTTCATCGCGTGCCTAGAGGCGAGCTCTGTATAGCGCCCTCTCACTAGAGGAAGGGTTAACGGGTTTTGTGCGGTGTGGTTTGCGGGTGAAGACATCAATGGTTGAGTTTTATGGCTAAGGATGAGGGCCTGAGAGGAAGGGGAGTCTCAAGGAAGTGTTTGTGCGCAGGTTGACTGCTTGAAGGGCGTTCCGGTGGATCTACACCTAAAGGAGAGCTCTCCAGACCCCTACTTTGCTCAGCATGTCAGAGACATGTACAAAAAATTCTTTGGCAGTAGCAAGGCGCCGTCTAGCCAATAGGCTGCCGCTATATGCCTCTCGCCGAATCTAGCTGGTCAGCAAGCGCAGGATAGCTCCGGCTTCGGTGTTGCTAAGCACGTAGCTGGCTAGACAGTTGTTGCTCCATTCGACGAACACTTCAAGAAGGGGCTATTTGTTTGAAGGCTTCTCTCTTCGGGTATGCGTGCGCCAAGCTGCAGCAAGCCTAGATGCTTGGTGCTGGCTAGTGAGTAGGACACAAGGGCACATGAAGGTGCCGCCTGGCGGCTACCTGTGTCTCCTTTAGTTAGGGTTACTGTGCAGTTCCCGTATCTTCAGGGAGGGTTGGGGGGGCGTGTTACTGCCTTCCGGCGTACACTGTTGCACCCTACATTGCGACGGGTCGTTATTAAAACCTTTCGAGTAGCTCGTGAGCAAGAGGCCTTAAGGATTTCGAACAGGGGTTCTACCTCCCAAGGGGCCATGCGGGCAATGCTAGACAGTGCTCTGCCTCGTGAGCCTCCGTAGATCACACGTAGAGTGCGATGCGTCGAGCTGTACTAGGTTAGTGGCTTGGGCATGCTCGGCTGTTGTCTGAGGGTGTTTTTTGGGGTAGAAGACATGAGGGGAGGACTTGGCAAGAGGTCGAAATACAGAGGCTTGAAGAGTACAGGGGTGTCCTTCTGAGGGTTGATTTGGAGAATATCCCCATGCCTCAGGTCTAGTGACAGTCGAGAGGAGTGGGGGGAGCGGCATGAAGACGAATTCCTTATTAGGGGGTCGGGAGAGGGGGAAAAAGCCAATCAAGTTTTTTGAAACGTGGTTTTCCTCCATCATTGGACCTCTCCAAGTGTTTTGTGTTTGGTTTTAGCTCTTTCTTGCAGAAGAGGCCGCCTTCCCTTCTTGTGCGTGAGGGCCCCACCCGAATGGGGGCCCCACGAGGGGGCCCCTCCGCGCTTCGGAGGACGGTCTGCAGGAGAAAGGCCTCTTGATCACTGTATTTTCATTGTGCTTTTGGCATGATAGAACACGTGCTGGCATCTTTCTTCATCCTGAGGAGAGCGTAAGGGGAGTTCGGGGTGATGGCGCATGACGGTGCCCCCCTACGATGACGTTCAAAAGCCGTGCGCTCATGGGCATTTGGGGTGTTGGGGAGTGTCTGTACACTCCTGCGTCTGTATTTTAGGGTATTCGGTGCGTTTTTGTTCTGTGGACTCCTCGCCGAGGCCTTTTATCGAGGGGTTTACTCGGACGGTTCGTTGTCGAGTTTTCAGTCCGGATGGACTGGTCGGTGTGCTATGAGCGCTGCAGTAGCAGCGCTCGGTTGGTGCCTCCCCGGAGCCCTCGTCGCTGGCTTCCCGTCGCTCGCTTAGGCGCAGCTGTGCCTCTCGAGCAGCAGCAGCAGGCTGCATCACCCCCAGGGCACCCCCTTCCGCGAGACGCAGGAGAGGAGGAGGTGCTGCGTCTCGCGTTCTCCCCCTGCGGCAGCCTTCTGGCAACATGCACGTCTTGGGGAAGCGTGTCCGTGTGGGATGTGGAGAGGGGGGCCTCCCTCATGCAGCTGCCGTTGATGTTGCCGGCAGCCGCTACCACAGTAGCGTGGCATTGCAGCGGAGCGTATCTATGGGTGGGTTGCGCTGACGGCTCTCTGCTCCTTTTGCCTCTCCGCGCACGGCCCTTGAGCGGATCGCTGCTGTCTCCCCACGGGCTGTTCGTTGCCGCCTACAAGGGGGCCCATAGCGGTGGCGTTTTGGGAGTTTGTACCGTTTCATCTGCATTAGCAGCAGACTCGGGGGCAGCAGCGCGGCTGTGCTGGAGCACAGGGGCTGACGGCTTCGTGCGCCTGTGGGATCTGCGGCAGCAGCGCAGCGCGTGCGTTGAGGTGTACGGACACGCAGCCGCTGCCACGGGCGTTGCAGCTGCGCCAGACGGCAGCGCTCTTGCCTCTGCGGGGGCGGACGGTCTCTTACGCCTGTGGGATGCGGCTTCTTTACGGCTCTTGAAGACAACAGACGGCGTCGGGGGGTCCCCCCTTTCGTCTGTGGCTTGGAGCAGAGGAGGAGGCCATGTTCTTTGCACCCGCAGCAACAATAGCAGCAACAATAGTAGCAGCAGTAGCAGCAGCAGCAATGCCACGCAGCATGCCGACGACGGGAAAGCGTCTCCTGCGGCTGCAGCAGAGGTGACCCCACATCGACGCCAGCAGCACCACAGGATGCCAGATGCGAAGGTGTGGAATGTTAGATGCTTTGGACTTGCAGCGGCAGCAGACGCTGCAGCGGCCTCCTTCGGCAGTCGTGATGAGAGCAGTGCGAAGGAGTCAGCAGCAGCAGAAGCAGCGGAAGAAGAAGAAGACGTGCTGAAATGGGCGGCGCTCGAGAAGCCCTTCATGAATCTTTTTGCTCCGCATGCCACGCCACAAGCTCGCCAGCTCTGCGATAGGGCGCAACGGCAGCTGCTGCTGCAGCAGGCAACAGCAGCGACCAGCGGTGCCTCCCTGGGAGACTCCCCGGTAAGCGAGCAGCAGAGGCAGCATGCGGAGGCTTTACTTCGCGGCAGCTCCCTCGAGGGGGGTTCTGCAGCCGCATCGGTGGATCTCCCTGCAGCAGTCGCAGCTAGCGGTGCTGAAGGAGAGGACGTCTGGGGGCAGTTGCTGCCTTGCGCTGCCTTCTGGCGTGATCGCGTCTTGCTGCCTGCCGCTGTTGGCTGTTGCTGTTGCTTTGCGGCTGCCTCGGGAGATATCGAGCAGCTGCTGCTTCGCCCCTGCTGCAGCAGGCGCAAAGAGGGGCAACAGCTGAGTGGTGTGGTCGCTGTGCATCCTGACTGGAATATAGGCGTTGCCGCTACTGCGTTTGCTGGTGATCGCTGCGCTCACATATGGTGCTTCTCTGACACCCTTCAGAGACACCCCGCTGCGGAAGAAGCAAGGGCCGTCGAAATCAGCATCATGAGGGCTGCTGCCGGTGGGAAAGAGAGTTTTTAGCGTGTTTCCTTGTTGCTGCCTCGACAAAGGGTTTCCCCTCCTTCTCCGTCCGTCCGCTTCCGCATTCGGATCGACGCAGCGTCTGTCTCCCTAATACTCCCACCGCTACTGCTGCTGTGCCGCGAACAGCCTTCCTCTTAATCGCTGTTGCTGCCGCGCTGCTAACCCGTGAGGCACGATACTGTCCTCGGTTGCAGCACCGCTGCTAAATCGCAACTGAGCTTTTTGAAATTCTCTAGTAAAAAACGCTACACCTTCTACACCCAAGGCTACCCTAGCTGCCCATCTCACGTTTCTTGGCTGCTTCTACACACGCGTTAAAGCAAGGCCCCAATGACAAAACAAGCGCTCTTCGAATGCCCTAAGGATACGCATGCTCATAGGGCTCCCGTATTGTATATCTGGCAGAAGAAGAAAATCGTGGCATTTGCAGCTGCCTCGACGCTGGGCACTGCTGCGTCAAGAGTTTATTTTATTCTGGCGCACTCAAGGGGCCCTTTTTCACTAGCATTGTCGTCTCCAGACGGATGCGGATGGATTCCCCTGTAGGTAGCTTATTCTGGCGCATTCAAGGGGCTCTTTTTCACTAGCATTGTCGTCTCCAGACGGATGCGGATGGATTCTCCTGTAGGTAGTCCCCAGCATATATATATATATATGTATAGATGTATACATATGTATGTATACGTCGTCGTCGTCACAGTCTGGACATGGGATTTTTGCAGCCGCATTAGCACGTGTCATGGCTGGATTCACCATGTCGCTGTCTGCCAGCGGCGGCACCCCCAGACTGTCTTTTGAGACGCTGGATGCCTCGCCGTAGACTTCCTGGTTTCTGTGTGCACGCATGCCGCTCAACACGCCTCTCCACGCGGGAGAGCTTCCCTCCACCTCCAGTCTGTACCCCCTTCAGCGGGGCCCCCCCCATGCTCATGAGCACTGCGTAGGGAGTCACTCTGCACACCCCTACCAAATCCGGGAATTCGCCGTATTTATGAACTCCAACGGTCTCTGCGCATTCCTATACACATTCGGACGGACAGGATGGTAAGTGTGTGACTTTTCAGGTGCCTGCGCTTGCAGCATCCAACGCGGTCGGGCAGACCGGTTCCGCAGTGGCGCCTCCGATATTTGAAAAAGGAACGCTCGATCGCGCGTTGCATGTGCACTGTATGGCTTGAAACCTCTTTGCTTTGAGACTTTGCAAGTCAGAGGGCCAGGCAGGCCTCCAGCGGGGGTGGTAAACCATGTTGCCAGTGAGTGACGTGGCAAGAAAGGGCACTGGCGACTAGCCCCCCCCCATGGTGCACCTCGGTCCAATTACAGAGCTTCGCATCATGGACAAAAAGCGACGCTGCACTCAACTCTCACGCGCAGTGTGTATGTGTGAGCAGCATTAATCGCGGCTGCGCCAGCCCAACTGCACCTGGCACGTTCTCGCTTTGAGCGTCATGGGGCCCCTGCGGGGGGCTAACAGTCCCCCCCGCGGCGGCAGAGTGCCCTTTTTGCAAACAGTTTCGCCGCATAAACCCAATTAGTCATTTTGCAAAAGGGAGAAGAGTCTGTGCCGCCGTTCCTCTGCCGCGCGCAGCTGCAAGGATCGCACAACCAACGAAGGGCCCCCCTGCGTTGTTTGTGTGTGTGTCTGTGCTACCCCGAAATAGAACGGTCTCCCCAGAGAAGCCCCCCTTGCTTTTCTGCGTTTCCAAGAGCCCGTTTAAAGCAATTCACAGCAGCCTTCTGCCCCCTCTCCCCCTCGCTTCCCCGTTTCACCCCTCCCTCCCTCCCCAGGAAGTTGCATCTTCTGCACTCCAGGCCCCCCGCGACACAGCTCGACGCGAATGCGCCCTACTAGAGCCTCATGTGCGCGTGCTCGCCAGCGCCAACAGGAAGAGTTCTCTCGCTCGCCTCTCCTGCTGCGCCAGCCGCAGCGGCAGGGGTTCACGCGCAAATGGGAAAGCCCCCTGAAAAGCCAACGGCCATGGCTGCCGTTGCACCCTCAGACGAACCGCACATGCTGCAAGTTCGCGCATGCACGGAGAGGGAATTCCAACGTACGTGTGGGGCCCCGACTTCTCATTTATGAGGCCCCCTTTAAGGCCTACTCGGAGTAGCACCCTACTGTGTGTCGATCGGGGTAGCGTCTCCTGCTGCCGTGCACTGCACCAGTTGGGAAGTCGTTCGAATGAGGCTTCGAACTGCGAGCTACAAGGCACGAGGGGGCAATTGTTCTCTTTGTGTCTGCAGAGTCTTACATGGCCATCACCGCTGTGGATGCCATTATGGACGAAGGGGTCTTTGAACACTTGAAGAAGTTCAGCAGCTACAAGTATTCCTTGTACCAGCAGCGCAAGGAGCAGCAGCAGCAGCAGTTGCAGCAGCAGCACCTGGGGCTGCAGCAGGAACTTCAGCAAGTTCGCGAGCTCATCGTGCATGCGCTCCAGTGCGACTCGAAACAACAGGAAGAAAGTATGACAACGAAGGTCCTTTGCAAGGCACTTGAAGAAGAACGACAGACGGAGCAGCAAGAACAGGAAATACACCACCAGCAGCAAGAACAAGAAAAACACCACCAGCAGCAAGAACAAGAAAAACACCACCAGCAGCAAGAACAAGAAAAACTCGAGCAGCTCCATGAAAAACAGCAGCAACTGCAGCAGCAGCTGCAGCTTGTGCACCAGCAGCAGCAAATGGCTGTCCTCAACGAATTCGCGGCTATCCGACGCATCAACAATGTACTGCCAAATCAAAGCCATCCTTCTTTCCCCTACTTTCCACCCCAATATCCCAGCCAGCGGCAGATACACGAAATTCCGGCAACTTTTCCTTTGCTGACATTCGGGGAGAGGCGGGAGGGCTCAGGAGTGGTAGAATGCACACCTTGCGTTGTGTGTGTGTCTGTGGCTGTGTATGTGTGTATTTATGTATATGCTCATGTGTATACCTATATCTTTGTGTGTATACGTATATATATGCATTTATGTATATGCATATGCATTTATGTGTATGTGTGTAAGTGTATCTATGTATGTATTTATGTATATTTATATGTGTATTTATATGTATGTGTGTGTGTGTATGTATTTATGTATACATATACATATGTGTATTTATATGTATTTATGTATATGTATTTACGTATTTATGTACATGTATATGTGTATTTATATGCATTTATGTATATGTATTTATGTATTTACGTATTTATGTATTTACGTATATATGTATATCTGTATGTATATGTATTTTTGCATGTGTATTTATGTGTATTTGTGTGTAGGAGGCCTGCACCTTGCTAGCAAGCAATTACGAGGGTTACGCCTGGATGGCTCAGGTGGCGGCGCGTGTAACTGAGCTGCTGCAGCTGCCAGGAGAAGAGGGATTTACAGGAGCCTCTTTAGAGGGGGGGCATGCAAGTGTCTCTCAAGGGGGAGAGGGAGAATCTGATGGAAGAGTCCACCCGCATCCGCTGCTGCCTGAGCACGAGCAGCAGCTCCTGGAAAGCGGCAGCAGCCACAGCGCGAGGAGGCTTGAGCAAGCCTCTGCAGACAGCATTGTGAGCTGCTGCAGCTGAGCGCCTTGTCTTTGCTTTCTCCCGCAAAGAGGAGGGGAAGGCATACTCTTGCAGCAGCAGCATGTTCTTCTGCGCTTTTCGACGGGGGAGGCGCTCTGCGGGATCCGACACTGGATGCAAGGCCGCTTTTTCGCAAGGAATGAGCATTCAGATCTCGCTTTTTGTGTGTTTCTGCAGCTCGTGGCTGCGCTCTGCGAGCTCCTCGCCACGAAGTACAACTCCCACGTCTCACGTAAGATGCTCGAGAATCGGAAAAAATGTCGAGAAGGCTGCATGCGTCTGCTGCGAAGCCTGCAGATCTTGCGGTTCGGGCGCTGTGATTCTGTCTCTTGGATGCAGGAAAGCTTCTCCAAGACAAGTCTCAGCACGGGAGTTGGCGACCACCGCCTTTTTACTGGCATCTCTTCGACGTGCGCGCATGCATGCATGCGCGTTGCTCTCCCGAAGCGTAGCTCACAGCTTCAAAGCCCTATCCAGAGACGAGACAGTCGATGGTGTTGGGAGCCTCGTCGAAGCTTGCTTGCGCTTGCTTGTTTGGCTTTTCAAGGTTTCTTTCCTCGTGGGGGCAAGAGGTAGGCGGCGTGCATGCATCTCTTCAGAGCAGGGTGTTTGGCAGTGTGTGTCTTGTGCAGCATCCGTGCATCGTACGGCAGATGCTGCAACTGTATCATCAACGACCTCAGGATGAATTTTTGGCGTGTTGGTTCGAAGACTTTGCTCTCCATAGGCGGCAGTCCAGTCCTTCCTCCTTTCCTGCGTCTGATGCAGACGCGGTGCTCACTGCGAAGGTGCTAACTCCGGAAGCTCAGGGGGAGTGGGGTTGCTCCATGGGTGTGTTTTCCGGATGGACGGGCCGTTGTTTGGGGCTTGGGGGGAGACGTTGACGGTGTGAGACGGGATAGGCTAGAATTTGAGCGGCCGGCTTTTAGCACTTGCATGCGCTTGTTGGTGGTTCCTGTGGTGGTTCGCCGTTGCGCTGTTTTTTGCAGCTGCTGCAGCAGTCCAGGCTGACGAGCAACTTCTCCGTATTCACCCTGCGCGTCAGTGAAGAGTTGAGGAGCTTTCTCCTGCGCGTGCGTTGCGTCCTCCCTGTAGTGTGCTCTGAGCAGCCAGGGTGGAAAGAGGAGGGAAACTTTTAGTCGGGGGGGCCTTTAGGGAGGTGTCAGAAGGGGAGTCTATCCTTGAGCCTCTCTGCGATTACTTGACGGAGGGTGGAGTTCGCTCGGAGTGCGTGGCTTCCGCAGATTGCGGGTAAGCGTTTTGGGGGGCGTGTTTGTGTGTGTGTGTGCCTTAGGACGAGCGTGAGGAGTTGTTTTCGATGAATCTCGCGAACATTGCGGCTCTCTTTTTGCATGCGGGTAATAAGCGAGAGACTGTGTAGCCTTAGCGAAAGGGTTCTGCTGCAGAGCCATTGCGGAAACGGGAAGAAGGGTGAACCAGAACTGCGCGCTGTGTGCTTGGAGGGAAGAGGGGGGTGAGGCGGGGGTGTTTACGCTGCTGAGCGTTCTTGCGTATTTGCGCTTTGTTTGTGTGTATTTGCGTATGTATTTGTGTATGTGTGTTTGCGTGTATTTGTGTGTTCTTTGGGGCAGAGAACGCATACGTGTATGCGCTAGCGCTGTTGGTATTTGTTGCTGATTGGCGTCCAGATCTTAGCGGAGCACGACGCCTCGCTCAGTTGTTGACGCGGCTAGTAGTTCGGCCTGGGGGGGTTGCTGCAGCTGCTGCAGCTGCGAGGCTGCCGCAGCAGCAACAGACATCTGGAGGGGCAGCAGCGTCTGCGCATGGCGTGTCTGTTGCTGCGGCTGAAGCGGCAGCAACAGACACTCCGGCTCCTTTTGTCGAGAGGCAGCGAGAGGTTTCTGCAGCGCAGCTGTATCTCCTCCTCACCAACCTCGATGAGTAAATCGTAAAGCTGTAGAGCTGCCACGATTTTTTTTCAACTAGCTTAGGCACAACATATTTGAATTGCGGAGCCACGACTAACTGGCCTCTGCGTGCGTCACCATTTGTTGTTCGTGCCTGCTTTCTGCTGCTGTCTCACCCCGAAAAAATGGTGCCTAAAAAGATGGTGCCTGCAAGCATTTGATTTTCTTAGGGCCTTCTTTCTGCGCAGGTTCCCACGACTGGCATCGCTCTTTCGTAGCATCACGCGCTCTCTTTTCATCGGAGTCGACATGCACCTGGCTCCCTCAGACGTCTGCGATCTATGCGATGTCGTGCAACAACTGCTGCAACGCTTCGAAAGCATGCAGCAGCTCTTGTACGAGAGAGCTGCTCCACAGAAAAAGACTCGGGCAGCTCCACTTGCAGACGCAGCCCCTCCAGCAGAAGGAACACAACTTGGAGCAGCAGTCGCAACAATTTCGAAAAATGGACTCAACGAAGCAGGCTTCTTTGAAGATCGCAATACGCCTGCACTCTCTCAGGCGGATTCCCTACTGGCTTTGCAACAACTGCAGCAGCAGCAACAGCAACAACTGCAACAGCAACAGCAACAACTGCAACAGCGACAACTGCAGCAGCAACAGCAACACCTGCAGCAGCAGCAACTGCAGCAACAGCAGCAACTGCAGCAGCAGCAACTGCAGCAACAGCAACAACTGCAGCAGCAACTGCAGCACCAGCAGCTGCGGCAGGCCACGGTACAGAGGCTTCCTCCTCCGCTGCCGCAGCGAGCTTGCATGCAGCAGCAGCAGCAATTTTTGCAGGGAATGAAGCAACTGCCGGCATCTGAGCAGCAGCAGCAGCGCAGCAAGAGGCGGCGTAGCACAGGCGATGCGGAGTTGAGCGATGAGAGCAGCAACAGCAGCAGCAACAGCAGCAGCAGCAGCAGCGGGCTCAGCAGCCTCAGTAGCAGCAGTCTCAGCAGCAGCAGCGGATTCAGCAACGTCCACATGCAGCAGCAGCAGCTGCTGCAGCACCCCCTCCAGCATCAGCAGCAGAAGCCCTTTTACCAGCAGCAGCAGCATCTGCATCATCAGCACCAGCAGCCGCAGCAAATCGAAGCCGATACTTGTGACGCCTCTGTTGAGGGGGATGCACTGGAGATGCCTTCTGCGAGTCAATACGGCATTTCTCGCCCTTGGCACTTGGAATATCGCAGAAAGCGGTAAAGCAGAGACACAAAGCGTCCAAGGGCCTAGGGGGGGTTAGTATAGTCGCTCCAACGCATAAGCTGCGTTTTATTTTGTTTTCACGTCACGGCAAAAGATTTTTCCCGAGAGATCATCACATCCCCTCTTGTGCTTGCTGCATGCTCAGGGGTGCTCCAGTCGAGCCACCGCTGACTGCGCTGCGAGAAACAGCGCTGCTTGACTCCTTGTTAGACGACTTTGTTAACCCCCGACTGATGTTGCAACAGAAGCACCATACCGTCCCCCGGCTCAGCAGCAGCGACAGAAGCAGCAACGGCGGGAGCAGCAGCAGCAGCAGCTGCAGCAGCAGTCCGCACGGTGGAGGAGAACCGCAGTTTCTCAAGTATGCGAATCTGCTTGTGGCTCTGTGTGTTAGGAGTGCCTACGAGCTGACTCGCCGCTGGTGGGAAGCCCGCAAGCAGCAGCGGCAGCTGCAGCAGCAGCAGCAACAGCTGCAGCACGAACAGGAGCAGCAGGCAGAGCATGAGCCGTGGCAGTTTGATGGCGATCCTGAAGAAATGCAAAGAAGCTCCGACGAGGTATGCAGCGAAAAGAGCTTGGCGCCTTTCTTGGGGGGGTTGTTGCGAGGGCGCGGCTTGGTGGCTGCTGTCGGAGATGCGCGCTCTTAGGAAAACGGATGCCATCGGCGTAATTTTGGAGTCTAACATGCGGCAGGGCGAAACTTTGCGATAAAAGGCTTCTTTTGTGTCGCAGTGGTCAAGCAATGCGTCTTCACCATCAGATATCTCCGAGGCTGAGCAGCAGCAGCGCCTTCAGATGGAAGACCTCTTCGAGGAACCCGAGCACCACTTGCCAGGCAAGCGAAGAAAAAGCAGCAATACCAAACGCAGCAATAGCAGCAGAGGCAACAATAGCAGAGGCAGCAATACGAGAAGCAATAGCAGCACAAGCAGCAAGAGCAGCAGAAGCAACAATAGCAGCAATACCAGCAATAGCAGAAGCAGCAATGCAGAAGCGGCAATAGCACCCACTGATGTCACAGAACGAGCAGACTGCACTGACAGAGCGACCCAAGAGCCAGCCTAGCCACCGCTTGTGGCATCGTGCATCTCTAGGGTAGAGTGTACATCATGTTAAATATATATACATATATGTATTTTATAAGAGAGCCGACGCGCTAGCAACTGCCGCTAATGGTGCGGCAGGAGGTGTTGTGGTAAGGGCTGAGAGTGCCTGCTCTGAGATGTGGCAGAATTTCTGTAGTTGGCAGCGCTTTGCGTGAAGCTCGCGCCGTTTGTGGTGATGCCTTCGTTGCAGGTGCTTCATTTAGAACGCCTCAGCAGTTCTTTGAGCAGCAGCAAGTGGAATACAAGGCCCCCCACGCGCTTTTGCAGAAACAGCAGCAACAGCAGCAGCAGCAGCAGCAGCAGCAGCAACAGCACCAGCAGCAGCTGTTCCTGCAGCAGCAGCAACAGATGCAGCTGCAGCATCAGTTGCACCAACTGCAGCAGCAGCAACAACAGCAGCATCAGCAGCTGGCTGCGCCGCCAGCTCAGCTGTATGCCCCTGAGCAGATGCTGTATGTTGAGAAGCAGCAGCAGCAGCATAGGCCAGTGCTGCAAGGGTTGCATCCGCTTCAGCAGTTGCACCAGCAACAACAGCAGCAGCCTGGATCCTGCTTTACTCCGTCCCTTGTAATGCCACAGCAGCTCCAGCCGACGCAGCAGCAGCAGCAGCAGCACTATTTTCCGCCAATGCAGCAGCAGCAGCATCAGGCGCAAGTTGATGCGCTGCACTTGCAGCAGCAGCAGCAGCAGCAGCAGCAGTTGCAGCAGCAGCTCTTCTTGCGGCGGCAACAACAGGAGCAGCCCCGTTGCCGGCGCGAATCGCAAGTCAGCGAAGAGATATCAGCCGAAGACGACTGGGAAAAAAGAAGTGACTATGACACGTGTAAGCGGGTGACTGCTGGTATTTTCCCCCTCGTTGCTCGTGCTGGTATGCGTCATGTGGCGTGCATGGGCATAGCTGCTGGTGGAGGAGCCATTGTTTGCGAAGGCAGAATAAGCTGTCTAGGGCGTGTGCTGCTGCAGCATCCATCACCGGAAGTAGTACTAGTAGCAGCAGCAGCAGCAGTAGCAGCAGCAGCAGCAGCAGCAGTAGTCTAGCTTCAAGCAGCATCGTGAGTTCCCTGTCCCCCTCAGCAGTAGGCTCTGGCAGATGGCCACCACAGCAGCAGCAGCAGCAGCAGCAGCAGCAGCAGCAGCAGCAACAGCAGCAGCCGGTAGTGTATATGGGGGGGGCGAAGGCCTTTAGCTCGTACCAGCCAGACCTACCCCCGGACGGAGTCGCTTCGTCCCTCGAAGAAAGAGGAGCAAAAAAGGGCGAAGTCGATGAAAGCAGCAGCTTATTAGGGAGTGAAGTCTTTGCGAATGTCATTGAACGCACGCGACTCGGACGGGGAGCTCACCTGCCTCAAAGGCAGCAGCAGAAGATCAGTCGGCACTTCCAGCTGTACGCCAAGGCAGTAGAGAGCTACAAGGCTATTGCGAGGAAGGAGCTTCTTGAGGTGTGCCCGACCGACTCCCTGAGCCGCACGCCTCTCCCCGCGGATGCCTTAAGACACCCGTGCGCTTTGCGGAGATCTCATGAAGCGTAGAAGCTCACTTTGGTGGAGGCGTAAAGCAAACGCCAACGAAGCAACGCGTCTCGCAGGATTTAGCTTTAGAGGCCTTGATGACATCTACGGTGTGGGGTGCGTGTGGCTGTTCAGATCTACCGGATCTGCCGGCGAGAGGATTGGCCACTGTGCGCCAAATGGCATGCCTTGGTCTGCTGTATAGGCACCAATGTTGCTGCTTCTGCCGTTTTATCCTTCGTACGGCAGCAGCTGCTCGGCAGCAGCAGCAGCAGCAGCAGCAGCGCTCCTAGCGCGAACGGCGCAGCTGCAGCGGAAGGGGATACCCCCACAGATCCTCTCTTGATGGTCACAGACGGCCTTCTCCTCCTGCTCAAGCTCATAGTGGACATACACCGCAACAAGCGCCCGCCAGTCGTAGATCTTTTAGGGTGCGTCTTCAAAAGCAGTAGCAGCAAGGGACGCCGCATCTCAACGCGCTTGTGGACTTCTCACGGTTTAGAAGGCGAAAGGATGGGCATTGCATTGTACCTGTTCAGAATAGGGAGATGAACAGAGGGAATTGTGGCTTGTGTATGTATGTACGTATGTGTATGTATGTATGTATATGTATGTATCTGTATGTATATGTATGTATATGTATGAATATGTATGAATATGTATGTATATGTATGTATATGTATGTATATGTATGTATATGTATGTATGTATATGTATGTATGTATGAATATGTATGTATATGTATGAATATGTATGTATGAATATGTATGTATATGTATGAATATGTATGTATGTATATGTATGTATGTATGAATATGTATGTATATGTATGTATATGTATGTATGTATATGTATGTATGTATATGTATGTATGTATATGTATGTATATATATGTATATGTATGTATGAATATGTATGTATATGTATGTATGAATATGTATGAATATGTATGGATGTATATGTATGTATATGTATGTATGTATGAATATGTATGTATATGTATGTATATGTATGAATATGTATGTATTCTCAGACGGCTATTTGTATCCGGTAGCAGCCGGGGGGACGCCCCGACCCTCGCTGAGAAGCGCATGGAAGTCAGTTCTGGCCTATACGTACTACCCCTAGGTGCTCATTGTTTACGCCGCAGCTTCATGAGCAGTGGTGTCTTCGTTTCAGCTATACAGCTGCTTGCCAGTTGTAAAGCCACTGTGCTGCCTTTTTGGTGCTGTGCCTCCTGTTTTTTTGCAGCGGCGCGTGTGTATTGTGCGCTTTTGGCTGTATGTGTGCAAATACGAGGGGGAGTTCGTGGCGGTTATTTCTGTATTTAAGCGCGTTGTAAACTCCAAACCCTGCCCGATCCACTAATCTTCAGCCCTAAGTTATAAGGCCCAGTGCCACGTCTGCGAGCTGCGATGGGCAAATCCTTAGGGTGCCTCTCCTTCCCGCTCCCCCCCCCAAGCATCCAGCTCCTCCGGCCGTGTCGCGTCAAGACAAATTTGGGATTTTTTTGTGCGTGGCTGCAGTACGCGCACACGGACCGAAGCATCTGCCGCTTCTTTCTGTCGGAGCTACTGCGTCTTTGCGGTCCTCCATTTGCTTCCTATTTCTGCACGGCTGTCCTTCGTTTTATAGCGCAGGTTATTGCTACAGGTACTGTGTGAGAAAACTCCCACGTCTGAAGCTCGCCGAGGAGCTTTACAGCCTGCTAGGCGCGTGCGGCTACGAACCAGATATGAAAAGAAGAGTGCCTTGAGAGGTTCTAGAGCAAGAGCAAAAAGTGCTGGGGTGTCTGGATGCTTTTTTTTCGGTGTGCGATCAGAGCGGAGCGCCTTTAGGGGCAGCGAGGCCGAGGGTAGGCGATTGCGGATGGCGGCTCTCTCATTCATTGAGCAAACGCTCAGATTTTGCGACGCGCCAAGCCCTGTTCCCTCCGACGTAAGGCTGGCCTTGCACTACTGTGTGCACCGATGCATTTTTGGTTTTCTTGCCAGCGGCACTGATAATATATACCTTCTAATATTCAGAGTTGGACAGGGGGGAGGGAAGCGTTGCTCAGGATCCCATGATCTTGTGCAGTGGGCTGTTTCGTGCATACAGGTAGCCGAACTGGCACAGGCGGTGCGCGCGCGGCTGATGGCGCTTCCGCAAGAAGAAGCGTGATGGCTACGCAGGTACACGAGTTCGGGTTTGGAAGGCTCGTGACTGATCAGATAAATGGAATCTGAACTCGATCTAAGGCACTTTTTTCGTCTGTGGCGTCTGCCGTATAGGTGTTTAGTGTGTAGAGCCAGGATTTGGGGTCAGCAGTCCGCTTAGGGTTGTTTTATCGATAGAAACAAACGAGGATGAGCTGGATTTTCTTCCTGAGGATTTGTGAGAACCATGAGTAGAGGCAATGGCAGAAAAGGTCATGAAACAGAAGGAGATACGTACTGGCTGGGGAGAGAGGAGGCTACGTAGGGGCGCTCTACAGAATAGGGGCAGAGGCTCTCAGATAGACAATGGCTCGTAGGCAACGAGGGCTACAGGGAAATCGCGAAGAGCACGGCGAAATTGCAAGCTAGGGCTAGTGATGGCTCGGTTACAGGCCACATTGCAGGCATTCAAAAGTGCCACAATGATCGCTTGTGACAGGGGAAAGGAGAAAGACGAGTTGCCGAAGTTACCATTACGGCAGCTGTGGAATTATCGGTGCCCGGTAGAGCTGTAGGCCGCTCAAAGGAGGGCAGCTCCGGAAGTTCCCCATTATTTCTCTCGACGTAGGTGGCAGGACCAGTGGCAGACAAATGTGGCGCGTAGAATGTGGTGACACGATTTGATTTGCTTTTGTTTAGGGTGTGTTGAGGCCTGACAGAGCGGTTGCAGCTTGATGCCAGGGTTGTTTAAAAGACAAAATCGGTCTATAATGAGCTTATGGGGCATCCTAAAGGTTTTTCAATGAAAATTTGAAGCAAGACATCCCAGATTGAGACCCTGCTACGGGGTTGCCCTCAAGATGAACACGCTGACTGCTTTAGTGTGCCCTTGAGTCACCATCTGTCCGTCAAGTACGTCAACGGTTACTCTGGATACCATTGAGAAGTGACTCATTAATTTTTTTTTCACCCAGAAACTGCAGAAAGAAGGGAGATGAAGACTCGCTGGTTGGCGGGGGGTCACCGCTGTCGTCAGCGGAGTCGTCAGCAGGCGTCGGTGCGGTGCCGGTATCTAGGCTCCTTGTGCTTATTTTTCTGCAGCAGTTTTGCTTTATGACGGGTAGTTACGGCGTACTTAAGCCTAAAATAGAGAGACATCGCCAGATCAAGCTGATTGACAGGGTAAACGCTGACGGCGCTCTGATGCCAATGGTGGCGGGTTTGCTGGCTGCGCTGCGGCCTGGAGAAAGTGGTACAATATATTGCTGTTTTCGGGTTATGTTTTCCATTTGTTTGTCTCTCTATAGATTTGCGGCACCCTTTTTTATATTTTGCCCTAGAAATTTCCCATCTTATTATCCAGCAACCCAGCGCCCCCCCCTCGATGTTCTCAGCACCAACCAGCCACCGCACGCAGCCTGCGCTGTCGCCACGCCATGCTTCCAAGCAAACTGCTGAACGTATTCTCTTTCTTCCTGAGCTTTTCCCCAGCGCTTTTCAGCATTATATAGCCCAAGGGCTTTCCCTGAAAGCCCCCTGAGTTCTACACTCCTCCGTGCAAGCTTTCCCTGTAGGTCACCTGACCGCTGCAGCTCTAGCCTGCCTGTGCCCCTCGCCTCCAGCAGAACGTTCTCAGGCTCTCAGGAGTTTTTTGAGGATCTTGGTATGCGCTAACTGCATTTAGAGAGCCTTGCTTTCTTCTTCGCCGCTAATTTCAGTGGAGAGTGCGCGAATGTGGGATTAAGTGCTCATGGGTTTGCCCGTGCAGCGCATATTGCACAAGCAGAGACAGATCTGCGATTTCATCTATTCAGGGTATTTTGTTTCAATCAATTTACCCTTTCAAGGAGGTATTGGGACTGCTGGCTAGCGGCTAGTGCCTGTGCACCTGAAATTGTGCTGCTGCAATCCGCAAGGAAGATGCCGGGACTGGGGCAGCCCTTTGTGCACTCCTTGCAGCAGCAAGAATCAGTGGAAACCAACGAAGAAGGCTGCGTCATTCGATCTTTTTGTTCGGTCCGGGGGGCCCCTGTGTATCACAGTTCAGCAGTTCGGCGATATTCCCTGCTGTCTGCAGTGAAGAAAGAGAAACTCGGCGCGTCTTGGCGCATCCAAGACTTCCTGGGGGTCTGGTCTCTGGCGAAGCGCAGATGTAAGCGCTTTTGCGATTTTTTCGCTCTCTCTTTTCCTGAAGCCCCCTGTGGGAGCTTTGTAGCGCAAGGTTCCCGTTCAGATTGCCTTGGGGACGTCTGGATGTTTATGCGTGGAGCGTAATGATGCTTTCACGGCAATGTATGGACCCTTTGCTGATTGTATGTGCGTGGGTTTTTCAGTTTTGCGTCCACGAAGTGACGACCAGTACGTGGATTCTCATCTCTTTGGAGATGGTCATCTGGGTCGTTGGTTCCTCCGAATGTATCCATGGGGGGATCATAAAAATAGCGGCTCCTTAGAATTGTATCTCATGCTGGAAAGCAGCCTTCCTCATGATTTGCTTGTACACTATAAGCTGCAGGTAATTAGGCCACCGAAGCAGAGCCAGCAGCAGCAGAAAAGCCGCGTGCGCTCCGCTTCTGGTGCTGCCGCAGCAGACAGCAGCACTGGCGCTGCTGCTGCTGCTGCACAGCGCAGAAGGAGGCACAGGAGAGAGGAGCTGCAGCAGCAAACCGCCGTTAGCCGCAATTCGGAGGGCGTTGGCTCGCAAAGAAGTTCTTCCAGGCAGGGCAGAAGCACCAGCAGGACCAACGTCAGCAGTGCAGATGACACAGGAGCCGTGGGTTCGCAGACAGCCGTCCGAAGCAGGCACACTGCCTGCCCACGAACTAGCAATGTCGATCAGAGGCAGCAAGGGCAGCATCGGCGTCATCGCCGGCAAAACAGCAGCGGCAGCAGCAGTAGTGAGAATCACAGAAGAAGTCAAAGACAGTCGCAGCACCCGTCAGAGAGGATGTCGGGGAGACGCCGCGACAGGGAAGTCGAGAGGGATAGAATTATCGGCTACGAGGATAGTGATGTCTATAGCAAGCAGGAGCCAGGAGTTGGCTATGGACCTACTCATCTATGCGACGGTGCGCTGTCTCGCTGCATGGGGGGTCCTCTGCGTCTGCAGTAGCAAGCGTTTCTCCGCAGCCATGCGGCTGTCACGATGCCGTCTAGCAGAAAGCCCCTGCTTTGCTCCCTCCTCAGGAGCAAAGATGCAATTCTAGCTCGCGCTGCAAAAATGTGCCGTCGCTGCGCATGCTTCAGTGAGCAGCCGCAAGAAAGTCGAGGAGCTGCTCTGGCCAGACGGCTCTCTCCTGGTAGTTGTCTTCATGGAGTGCCCCTCAGCCATCCACGAGAGCAGCGCCATCGTGACAAAGCCTGGCAGCAGCAGCACCAGCAGCAACGGCAACTGCCCCGTCGCACTTGCATCTACGGCCTCTCCAGCTTCAGAGCAAAGTATCCACGGCATCCCTGCCACGTTGTTGCCGCTTCCCACAGCTCCTCCTGGACGGATGCTGCAGCAGCAACAACCGCAGCACGCGTTAGCTCTCAACAGGCACTGGCCTCTTCTTCCCCCTTATGCTTGCAGCGCAGATGCAGCGGCAGCGGCAGCAGCAGTGGGGACCGCAGGAAGCGTAGCCACTCAAGTTGCTGCCTTCGTCCTGTCCTCTCCGCCGGATTTGATCCTCAAGTTTGGGGGGCAGCAATTCGCAGCCAACAAAATCGCACTCGCCGCATGCTCAAAGGTAACCCCCTCTGCAGGAAAGAACGAGCCAACCCTCTGTACAGCAGGCTCCTACTGGCTTGTTCGATGCCCGGCCGCTTATCCGGATGCGCTTTTGCCAGTGGCTAGCTAGCTAGCTAGCTAGCTAGCTAGCTACCTGCCTACCTACCTGCGCGCATCCACTACACAAGCGGTAGCAAGTCACCAGCGGTGCGATTGCGGGAGACGCTTGCACGAGGCAGGAAGCACACTGACCTTTAGGCCTTGGCAAATCGCTGGGCGGGCAGTCGCTCACGCCTTTCCACCCGCTTTCGCCAACCAAGGGGCTTATTGGCATCTTGTGCTTCGCTCATCGCCTACAGCCGTCGCAGCAGTGCTGCCAGACTTCGCTGCCGGGTGTTTGCAGCTGTGTTAAGGGCCGCTCGAAGTTGTTCCGAGCCGCTGCGGTGTATGTGCTGCACTGGCTATTCGCTTTGCTGCTTCTACTCAAGGTGCAACTTCTGCGCCTTTTTCTTGAGCCTCTGCTTGCAGGTCTTTCGCGCGATGCTCAATGGCAAATTCAAAGAAGGCACACTTGTGGCTTCTCAGCAGCAATTCAGTGAACAGTGGCAACTGCAACAGCAGCAGCCGGTACTAGAGCTGCCCCTGACGGAGGTCACTCCAGCTGCCCTTCAGAATCTGCTTCAGTGCATCCACACCGACAAGTAGGGTGGTTCATCAGCGTGCTGCTTCTGCGTGGCGTCTTTCTTTTAGAGTACCTGCTGGGTGTGCTGCTCGGATCTCTCCGACTGCTGCTGCAGGCGCTGCAGCTGCGGAAATTCCTATGTCTGCTCCTGTGCTGGTGCTGTGTCTGCCAGCTGCGAATCCTTGTCGAGCAAGCACACTTCCATGGAGGCTTGTTTAGAGCTGCTGGTTGCCGCAGACCTCTTCGATGTGCAGGTGAGGCATCGTCGTCTGCGCCTCTCGTTGCTGTGGTCCTGAAACAAGGCAGCGAGCCACTACTACGCTAGCTAGCGAGCCACTGCTACGCTAGCTAGCGAGTCACTGCTACGCTAGCTAGCGAGCCACTACTACGCTAGCTAGCGAGCCACTACTACGCTAGCTAGCGAGCCACTACTACGCTAGCTAGCGAGCCACTACTACGCTAGCTAGCGAGCCCCTACTACGCTAGCTAGCGAGCCACCTACCCGGGTTAAACGTTGGTGGACGCTTTGCTCTACCCTTCTGGCGATAAGTAGTGCTGATGTCAATGCGGCGGGTGCAGAGCATTTACTGGCGTTCTGTGGAGGCCTGTCGAAGACTTCTTTCCAAGACAAACTTCACGGCTGCGCTGCTGACTGCGCAACGCATCAACTGCACCCCTCTTATGCAAGCTGGTGCGAAGGCTTCGGGTCGAAGAAGCATTTGGAAAGGAAGGGGGGAGGGGAGGGGAGGGAGGGGAAGGGGAAGGGGATCGGCTACTTACTCGGCGCGGGATATAGTAGACCTGAGGCCTCTACTAGGCTGTCGAGTGAGGCAAAAAGCTTTTTGCAGCCTCAGAAAAGATCATCATGAGGCTTGAAAGCGCTTATACGCGGGGAAACCTGTGATCTGCAGTGTAGGTCTGTGACGCTGCAGTGTAGGTCTGTGATGCTGCACGGTGCGTGCAGTCAAGGAGTTTGCAAATAGCTTGCCTGGAGGCGTCGTTGCGCAGCGGATGCTACGGACTCTTGAGGCAATGGACGCTAAGAAAAGGCCACTGCAGCAACAGCAGCAACTCCAGCACAAGCAAAAGCGGCAGCAGCAATGCCCACTTCTTGACCAGCAGGCAATGGTAGTTGACGCGGAGCTGGAATCCCCAAACCAAGAAATTCGCACCACTCCAGCGGCAACAAGCGAAACAACAGGTGCAACAACGCCAAGTCCACCACCTTCGCTTTATGACGGGGGCTCAGTTGCTTCGCTCTCCAGCTCAGAAGACCCCTTAGCAGAAGCAGACTCGGGAGATGCGGGTGCAGCAGTTTCTGCAGACGAAGGAGTTACGACTCCCGAAGAAGGATCGACGGCAGATGCACTAGTGGCGCCCTTACAGCTACATCTCCACGCATTGCCAAAGCCAGCAACGGCGGCTTCAAAAGAGGCCTTTCGCCAGGAGATCCAGAGAGACTCTGTGGAGTGCCTAACCAACACCACACTTGTCGCTGCTGCTGACGCTACCACAGCAGAGCATAGGCCTCTGTGCAGCACAGTCAGCTCACCAGGAAGTAGCCGCACTGATGACTGCACATCTGCTTGCGCCTCTTCTTTGATAGGCCCCTGCAACCCCTGCTATAACCCCAGTAGTAGAAACACGGTAACAGCTCTATTATGCAAGCCCCTTAGTTATTGGAGAAATGCGGAGGGTGAACCTCTCTCGAGAAGAAAGGTTCTTTCGGCTCTGCAGCAGCAGAAAACGCCCCCAGAGTCTCCGGAACTGCGGCAGCAGGAGCAACAGCCAAACCAGCAGCAACACTGCAGGGGAAGCGCCTTCGACGCCCCCCTGAATGCATTGGAGACAGCTGCTGGTACGGGCGGTGCTGGTAGGAGTGATCTTGCGGGGGCAGCAGCGTATGCACCGGCTGAGACGTCTGCTGAGCAGTAGATGCCATCGCGTTTCGTCACTGTAGCGACACTCGGAGGCGATTTCTTGCTCCCACCGCGTCCAGTCAGTCAGCCGCAGCTATACCACTAGTTGCCTGCTGCTTCGTGCTGGCGCGAAACCGCCTAACCCTACACGGTTAGTCCCACTGCGGCACTAAAGGGCCGCATGCTTGATTCGCCTTTAGATTGCCTCTCACGTAGGCTACCGCTAGTAGTGGATTCCAACTGTCGGAAAGAAGCAGTAACGGCGCCAGGAAGCGCTGCTGCTGGCGGAAGGTTTCAGAGTTCGCCGTACCGTACCTCTCTAAAGCATACCCCCTGAACCGTGCCCGATTGGTTTACACGGCATGTACAGACACCCACTGCGTGGGGTCTTATAGTCCGTCTTTTATGTATCGAACACCCTAGCACCAGGACTATCAGCAGCGCAATGACAATCGAGTGTGGCGGAGCAGCAGCAATTGTTGCTGAAACTACCGTTTTCGCTGTAATGCGTGCAACCCTGCAACCCTTCAGGCCCCCAGTGTGAAACGCACTGCACCTTCCACCTGAGTTCACATATGTATCACACTGGCAGCCAAGTAGCAAGGCATCGCTTTACGGGTAAGCAAACTTGACTGCTTTGCGGAATAAGGGTTCATATATTCAGCATTGATTACCCCCTCCGACTAGCGGCTCGACGCTCCCCAGTGAGCCATGTTTTCGCCAGTCAGTGTGTCGAAGCAACGCTATGAAATGCTTTTGGCCACCTGCAGCTACTTGGAGCTCGCGATGCCTGCAGGTGAGCATGTTTTCTGGTTACTCCATCGCAAGCTTCTGCCGATTGCGGCAGCCCTCTGCAGTCCCCTCAAGAGCGGCTTCCTAAAGGACTCGCACTGTGGGGAGAAAAGGGGATTGTTGTGTAAGTAATGAGTCACTACCTTGGCGTAGAAAGCACTAAGAGGAGCAGCAAGCGCTTAAAGATCCCCCCAGCATGCCTCAGCGCACCGAGGGGCCCCTCCCCCGCGCCCGGAGGGTACCAGCCAGGGGCCCCCGAGAGTTCAGGCAGAGGACCACCAAGGCCAGCTGGATCAAGTCTTTATTTGAGTTGTTGCTTTTGCCAGTGTAGGCATTCTACCTTATGAAAAGCCCCTTAATGCCAAACTCCAGGGCTGCGCTTCAAAATGGGGGAAATTGTGCCGTACCAGGACCAAGTCAATTTCAACGTATTGCACTATCCGCCAATTTCTGAGGTGCGTCCTGGACTCAAAGGCACATTTTGAACGTTGAAGCAAGAACTTGCACCGTTTCGCAAGGGGGCTTTTGACCACAGGGTATTCCTGCTGCCCGCTTGGACCCCACGGGGAGCACAGCCTCGTCGCTCGTTTCACGAATCCTGCAGAGCATGAAATTCAGATTCCACCGCTTGACGCTCAAGGCGTGAGGCATTTTTGCGCGTTCGTCCCATTGCAGGTCACGGAGGCGCTGCCTCAGGACGGGCAGCCGGAGAGGCGGGTGGCTCTCTGCCGTTGCTGGCAGTCACGCAAGTACCCCTACTGTGATGGGGCACATAAGGTAAAAAATTAGGGATTAGGCATATGGGTGCGACAGATTTGACGGCGGGGATTGCGCCGGTCTGGAGACATGAGGCGCTCTTCGAATTTAGAAGCCTCATGTTCTGTGCACGTGGGGTGTGTGTGTGTATGTATGCATGCACTTGCATGCACTTCAGGCCATGGTGCAGAATGGCGATAATGTGGGTCCATTCATCGCTGTTTTGCGTAGCAAAGCCAGCATGAAAGAAATGCAAGTAAGCACGGAGCCGGAGAGGCGCTCTGCTGTTGCCGCGTTTGTCGCCGCTGAGCCCTCTGGCCTCCTAGTCCCCCCCTTTACTGATGCGAGGCTCCTCAAGGATGCACGACGCTTGAGCTGCTGCTGACGCTGCTGTTTTTGCTGCCTCAGCGCTACCCTTTGTGCTTCTGTTTTCCCTTCCGAATCCCTGGTCTGCCGTGCGGAGCTCGAGTTCAACCTTCACGGCGTGACAACAGGGGGGAACCACTTTTCATCCCACTCCTCTTTCTGCACTTCTCAAGAGGCCCTGCCCACATCTTTTTCTGCGTCCAATGCGCTTTGTTCCTGCAGAATAACAGTCAACGCCAGCAGCAGCTCCAAAAGATGAACCAGCAAACGAGAACCGCATTGCGTGTAGGGCTCCGCGCGGCAAGAGGATCTGCAGTGCTTGCAGGTAATTACATCCTCTCGCGCATGCTGCCTTTGTTGCTTTCGCTGCTGCTGATTTTGTTGCTGGTGTTGCTATCAAGGCTTGTCTGGCTGGTCCACGTGCTGCAAAGCGAGCAGCTGATTCTGATGCCTGTTGCCTCTGCACTGCGCGGGTTCTGCTGCAGGTTTGGTAGCTGGATCTCTAGGCGGCTACGTAGCTGCAGATTTCGTAGCGAGGTCGCTAAGACAGAGGCCTCTTGAGGTGGCTTCCCCTGACCGAAGTTTCTTCTACGAGCTAAGCCCTTCGCCGGTGTAAGTTTTCTAAAGGGCGACAAATCGTGCGGTTGCATGGCTAGTTACGCAGCCAACGCAATTTATTCTCTCATGGAAGCATGCATTACGCAGTACTAGGGAGGGTGGTACGCCACCAGTTTAAAGAACTGCCTCCCTGTTAGGGATAGATCATTCGAGGCCCCCCCCCCCCCCGTCCTTGGCCAGTTAAGTGCTTGCAGAAGCCTTTTACTCGCAACTGCGGCAAAAGCCGAGCTGCGGGGCAGGAACCCCTTTTTGTGCTCCAGGGAACCGCATACGCGAGCCTCTATAGCCTCCTCACTACTGTTTACGCAGCTTTGCAGTGCAGTTGAGCGATGCACATCACAGGGAAGGGTAGCGCGTATCGTACAGCTAAACCTACGTGTCATATGATTTAGATATTGTGGGGTGCCGACACCCCAAACTTCATGATCGGGACAGAACTAACACTTTTCAAGGCCTAGATGCCACGCGTATCTACACTCGATCGAGGAGCCTGCAGCGACAGCAGTCGCCAGCACCTACAGCCGCGCCGTTTAAAATGCTGTAAGGTGTTGATGCGCATGGCACCCTATGCATGCAGAGTCCCCACGAGTAACTGCAAGATCGCTTGAGGCCTGAGTGACCATAAAAGCCTCCGCTAATATATGCTAGCTCTCTCTCTCTACCCGTCTGCCCAGTGGCGTAAGGCTTCATGTGCAGAAGCGGCGCCGGAGCACGCATGTAAGTTGCATGATGCTCGCTGGATTACGTGCAGCTGCCCCTGCGACATCCAGCCGCTGGTGTGGCGGAACATTGTGCCCCTGTGCATCCATCTCGTAGTCGCAAGCGCTCTCTATCGGGCACTGCTCCGAGGATGCTGTATTAGCTGCTCCCGCATTTGCCCTGTCTACTGCGCAGCGGGTGCGTACTCTTTCCATGACTTTGCACTGGAGGACTCGCTGGAGCATGGATTATATGTTTGCCAAAACGGCCCCTGAAAGTCAGGTCATGCATACTTCTCTTTTGGAGGGTCGCTCACCAATACTTCCCTATGCAAAGCCAGAAGGAAGCGTGCATACACTGTGCGTGTCTCTCCCTGCTCTGTCCTCCCTCAACACATGTCTCAGTGGCTCCTTGTATGTATGCTACCATCTTTTATCTGCTTCTCGATCATTGTATCTTCGTTTCTTCTAGTTGCTACTGAGATTCGAACTTCTGTGTTGCCTTGATATCCAAGGCTCCTTCCTATTCTCGAAGCATCGCTCCGTGCTGCCAGCGGATCCGTCATAGGCAAGCGACCCGATGCAAGCAGGGGGCCGTTCAAGGCTCAGCCTTCAGTATTTACAAAGCAAACGAAATCCAGTGCAAACGAGGATCACCCCAATACTCCCAGATGCATTGTACTTCAGTGTTTCGGATTAAGGGCCTCCGGAGACAACTGGGGAGCTATCCCTTGGGGTTGCGTATAGGGCACACGGTTCAGTGGCCAAGCCAGCGGAGTCTCCCTACCCTAGCAGACAAAAACTCTAAAAAGCAACACTGAGGGAAAGATCGTGAAAAATACAACAAAAATTGGCGGCTATATTTCCATCAACTGCTGCTGCGGCTGCCGCTGCTGTCGGCAGTGCTCGCACGCTCTCGGGCATCAGGGGTAGCTGGGTGTTTAAACAGGGGCCACCTCGCCATACACCCCAAATGCTGCAGCGTAAATCATGAGCACCTATGATCTGCCTGCTGCTCTTATAGAGAGAGTTGCTGTTGACGGAGCACAGCGCCACAACCAGAGCAGCGTCAGAGACAGCCCCGCCTGCACGGGGGGTCGTCTTCTCTTTCATGAAACACACTCACTGCCTTCGCTACAGTGCAGAAGCGGCGCCTTTGCTGCGGCAGCAGCATCAGCATCAGCAAGCTTTCGCTGCTGCGGCTGCCCGCAGCAGCAGCAGCAGCGGCAGCAGCAGGACGAGGCATCACGGCATCGGCAAGCAAGCCACCGAAAGGGCAAAGGGCAGACTTTGAAGGA